AGAGAGAGACAGAGAGACAGAGAGAGAGACAGAGAGAGACAGAGACAGAGAGACAGAGAGAGAGACAGAGAGAGAGACAGAGAGAGAGACAGAGAGAGACAGAGATTAAATTGATCAACAATCACTGCCTACTCTGTACCAATGGATGAAAAATTAAAATTCAAAGTCCTTTGCCCTGAAGGGATCTCAGTAAGGTACAGAAGACAGACACAGACAGGTCATTTTCACACCTTGTGCTAAGAGGAGCAGCGGAAGGCTGAGAGACCCAGAAGAAGGCATTTGAGTCTTTCTGTGGAGAGGAATCCCTGAGAAAGGTTTCTCTTGGCCTGAGTCTTAAAAGGTACTTATTAAAAAAAATAAATAAATAAAATTGAGGGCTGTGACGAAAGGCACTTTTATTGAAAACAACATGACTAGGAAGAGTGGATGCCCCGCAACTCCTGGTGGCTGGAGGCCACGGTGGAGATGAGGAGGTGTGGAGAGGAGGCTGCGGGTCCATGCAGGGGAAGGTTAGGGCGGTCTCCTATTCAAGAAGCATTTAGGAAGCATCTCTGTGCACCGAGTTCTCTCTGCAAGTTGCAGTTAGTACCTTGGAGAACAGCCCCTTGATCGGGCACTCGCAAGCTCGAAATCCCTCCCTCTACAAAGGCAGGATGCTGCCAGTTTCTGCGGGTCTTTTGAAAGCAGCAGTTAATGCTTGAATTTTTTTTTCTTTTTATTCTTATTTTTTTCGTTTTAACTTTTTTGTTGTTGTTTTGTTTTGTTTTTTAAACCAATTTTGCACATTCATATCTGGAAACCTGAACAACTAATTTGAATATAACATCATGCAATACAGCAACCATAGTGAATTCCTATTACTTTGTTTAGTGAAATTTTACGTCATTTCTAATGCTTTATTTTATTTGTTATTATTTTGTATGTTTTTAAATAAGATTAAAAAACAAAAAAGACAGGGCACACAGACCCACTTTGGCCATTCAAATGAAAACACAGAACCTCTGTGACATAACTGTGGTTATCTCCTCTGCTGCCTTCCCGACGAATACAGAGAACTATTTCGGCAGGACTATTGCTCCAAGTCATGTTACATTCACTTGCTATTTGGTTTTTAGAATCTACCTTTTGGAAGAATGATTTTTAAATCCGATAATCATCCATCTCTAATCTTCAGCTGCCTCCCCTGCTCTGCATGCTGCTCTGAGAGTTGCATCACTGACCGCAGGAGCAAACCTAAAGTTACTCCAGGGATGGGGGTAGGGGGAGAAAGCCTGGTTTGTAAACACAGTCTCACTTCCATTCCCGGGAGCATTTATACTCATAAGTTTCTACGTTTGCAATGGTAAAATTTCTGCTGAGAATATTGGAATACACATGTAATGCTAGCACTCAGGTTAAAGCAGGACAATTAGGCCATTGTCTAAAAAGAAAGCAAGAGGTCCACAGATATAGCTCAGCAGCATAAGCGCCTGCATGGCAAGCACAAAGCCCTGAGTTCAATCCCCAGTACCGCAATACATAAATAAGATTGAGAAACAAAGATCCATGTTTCATAGCATATGCCTACAATCCCAGCACTCAACAATCTCAAAGAAAGAAAGAAAAGTGAGGACCGGCAAGATAGCCTAGTGGACTAAGCGCCTGCTTAGGTAAGCACAGGGAATGGAGTCTGATCCCCAGAACTGCATGCCACACTGGCCCTGCCCCCAGGCGTGCTGAGCCAGTCACCTAGACCAGGTGTGGTGGCGCATGCCTGTAATCCCAGCGCTGGAGAGGCTGAAAACAGGAGGATCACTCTGCATCCGAGGTGCGCAGTGAGACCCTGTACCAAATACATTTAAAAAAAAAAAAAAGGGGATGGAGGAGAAACATTACCCTCAGCAGCTCTCTTATACAGAATGTACTCCCCACCTAGTGGCAGGGCCCAGCACCAGAGTCTTAACTTTTGGCTCAAGAAAATAAGCAGGTATCAGAACCCAGGGAGCCGTGGATCAGAAGGGTCTGTGTCCTCACCTTCCTTTTTTCACCGCACACCACCCCATCCAGCACTAAGCCTGTGCTTTCTTTCATCTTCTTCCCCCAAAGACAGCTGGCCCAAAGGCAAGTTTCATTATTCTTGGCACTTCTTCACAACCTATACCTTATTGTTTTCAAGTAGCACTGTTCTGTTCACTTCCTGTGACTTATACAGGGTATACCGAACATGTATTTTAACTCTAAGTCTTCTCAGAAGTGTTGCTCTTCCACCCTCCCATCACCTCACATGAGCAACTCGTGGATCTGAGAGCAATTAGTGTGGGCAGCACTAAAGGGAGCAGAGTGTGCCCGCTCAGCACTGCTTCCCTGCCAAGTGCGCCTGGCCTGGCGGAATCTCTCCCCGCAACCACTTTCCGTCCCATCCTTGGATACATTATTTCTCCTACCAGCCTCACCAGAAGTAATTTGTAGCACTGCTCACTTAGCAGAATGATGCCCGGATGCTGTCACTCAACAATGGTGCCACTGTCTTTGCAAGAATTACAAACACAGATTATACTTTTCATTGGGATAGTCTTCTTGAAAGATCCCCAAATGCCGGGCAGTTCCATTTATGATGTGGGATATCTGATTGCATTTCAGTACTAAACTAACAATGTATTTCACATACACCAACATTCACAGTTTGGTCTTTGATATAAAAAGTTTTTATTTCTTTTTATTATTATTATTTTTAATTAATAGTCCTGAGGAGAAATATAGCAATAGGAGCTATAAACAGAGGAGACATGGGCTTGAAAGGTAAAAATAGGTGACTCAACTTTACTTCATTCTTATCCAACATAATAGCATATCCTTTCTGCATACAAAATAACTGCTGTGAATATTAAGATTTTAAAATGTAGGGGGCTAGGGAGATGACTCAGTAGAAAAAGCGCTTCCCTGGCAAGCGCAAGGGCCTGAGTTCAATCCCCGGTTCCGCAAAATAAATAAATTAATTAATTAATTAAAATTAATTTTAAAAATAGAAAGAAAACAGACAATTTTTTAAAAAATGTATCTGTGGTTCTCCTCTTTTTAATTTGAACTATAGGGAGCACCGGGTACCCCAGGTTCTCCGGGGCTCAGAGGTGATCCTGGATTCCTTGGATTTCCGGGCATCAAAGGTAAAGTCTTTTTATGCACTCTTCTTTACATAGACAGAATACCATAATTCTTATTTCTGAGCACACAAATGTTCACTCACTCCTTGCGGGCCCCCAGAGAGTAAAGAGGCACTCGATGTGAATGAAGACAGGAGATGCTGCCAGCGCCTCACCCAGGGGCTTCAACATTTTAAGAACTAAAAAATCTAAAAGACCAGTCACCCAGCTGTCACTGGGGGAAGACAGTCACTCAGCAGTCCCAGAGCTGTGATTTGTGGTTTCGTGGCACACATCTTGTTGCTGATGGTGGTGTTATGTTTTGCTTGTGCTGCTGAAGAATCAAACCTGAGACCTGACCTTGGGCGTGCTCCGTGAGCGTGCTGAGCTGCCTCTCCAAGCCCTGCTTCTTAATGGAATGCAAGGATACTATGACTTTAAATAAGGTTTTCAGTATGTCACTCATCATCGTAGCTGGCTAATTCTGCAGGTATTTGTTTTGTAGGGCCAGGGATCTCTTACCATAGCCCATAAACGTGCAAAGTAAGCGTGGCCACAGCCACAGTGTCATGAGGGAAAATTTCTTCCAGATTCAAGAGGCACCAGGTGGGCTTTATAAAGGTCTTTTTCAGTACCCTCAATTGCTGACTTCCTGGGGACAATTTAGCCAAAAGCCAGTCTCACTAAGTGACTCTGGGTGTTGCTCTGGACATGGAGTTAGTGGATACGAGCAGGCAATCTGAATTGTGTAATGCCATCATTTCTCCAAGTTTCAGAATAAAAACATCAAAGATCTGAAATATAATGTAAATTCCCTATTTGAGAAAACATCCTGGCAACAGGTTTATAGGTATTTAGAGGGGAGCGTTATTTTGAAATATATTCAATTCTTTTGAAAAATATTCCATGAAACCTACTCACTCTTAGATTTGAGAGTAAGACCACTGGCTGGACCTATCAATGAGTTGTGTGCATCTTCATCCGGAAATTTGTAATCACCTACTTTTTGTACTATAATCATTGTATTTTGTTCTCTTAACACACACAAGCACACACAAAGTGATCGAAAAGTATGGTGAGTTTTTAAAAATCAACTAAAACACATCGCAATTCATCCCCCTCCAAATACTGCCCCTTGCCTGGGGAGATAGCTCCATGGCTTAAGCGCCTGTCAGCCAAGTACAAGGTCCCAAGTTCGATCCCTGGTACCACAATAACAACAACAAAAATACTGCCCCTTGCTTCGAACACACTACACTGCCCTTGCCACTTGCGGAAGCAGTTCCAGACGTCCTTTCTCATCCGTCTCTTTCTAAGTGAGAAGGGGGATTCTGAGGGGCAGGAAAAGCAGTGTGTCTTTTACTATAATACAGTTTTAAAATTTAAACATTCACCATGTATTTTGATCATGTCTCATTTTATTACAGTTTTTCCTAGTAATCAGATGTAATACTTATACTATCTCAAGATTTTTAAAAATTTTTTGAATTTAGGGCAGGTTGTAGAGGGTATACAGGGTCTCACTACGTAGATCGGACTCATAGTGATCCTCCTGTTTACAGCCTTCTAAGTGCTGGGATTACAGGTGCAAGCCACCATGCCCAGTTTCAACTGCTGCCCTCTCAGCATGTGCTGGGGGCGGGGCCAGCACGGCAGGCCCCAAGATCCAACCCATGGCCCCTGTGCCTGCCTAAGCAGACACTTTAATCTGCTGAGCTACTTTGCCGGCCCTTTAAGATATTTTAAAAATAAAGTATTTCTCCAAATACATGGCTCTTGGTAAACTTCTTCCATTTGTGTGAAGCATTATGATGAAAAACCTTAACTACTTTGTTAGTTTACAACAAATAAATCTATATGTGCCCATGAGAGTTCCTGATTTAACTAATGCAGGGCTATTGGTAAGGTTAAAGTAATAAGCTAAGAAAGTAGATAGCTACAATAATCAAGCGTGATAATTCACCAAGAGACATTAAAATAGTTTTAATGTGGTTTTGTATATTACTTTAAATATTAAATTAACTAGGTTTTGGAGTCCAAATGTGAGCTCCTAGGAATCTTTTCATCAATGTTAAAATACAAGTTTTAATGCCTATTGTTTGGGTGTATTGTTATTGACTGTCACGTAAGACTCTGCTGGGTGTGGTAGGAACATGCACTCGCGCACTCGGGAGGCTGAGGTGGGAGGGTCATTTCGAATGTGAGACCAGCCTGGGCTACAAAGTAAGCTCAAGGCCAGCCTGAACTGAAAAGCAAGACCCTGTCTCAAAAACACAAACAAACAAATATGACTCTTTCAAATGAAATGCTAAACCCCATGTGAATGTAATTAAGATATAGTTATTTTCACAATGTGACATAAGCTACAATTAGTACTTATCCTTAGAGTTTATCAACCTGAAGAACCAGGAAACCCACCAAATCACTCTGCCTTTTTTATTTTTATTTTTTTAAGGACAGAAGGGTAATCTGGGATTCCCAGGGTTGACTGGACCTCCAGGACCGGTTGGACCAAAAGGACCACCTGGTAAATGCATTGCTTATCATTGCTCTGCATGGAGGAAGGGTAACTTGTCCAGGGAACCATCTCACCGTTATGCTTATGCCAACAGGTGCACGTGGAGACCCTGGCACACTTACAGTCATCTCCCTTCCTGGAAGCCCAGGGCCACCTGGCTCACGTGGACAACCGGGGATGCAAGGAGAACCTGGACCACTGGGGCCACCAGGAGAGCCAGGTGGGCCTGGCGCCACTGACGTGGTCTCTGGGAACTAATCAAACCAAGGTGCCTGTGAAGTACTTGGGAAGCAAATGCTTCACAGGAAACGTTAAATACTCTAGTGTTTCAAAATTGATTTTAGGATGGAACACATCTATTCATGAACAGCAAATGAAAGACCTTAAAATCTATAGAAAACACTTTGACAAATATACTTTATAGCACTCTGCTTTGTTCTTTTATTAAAGTAGAGTAATATGTCTATCTCTTCTTACAACTTTCAAGCTGAAGCTGTGTTTCAAAATGATTGCCTTCATACAACCAAATTCTGTGAAGTTAGTATTTTTAACACTTCGTACAGCAAATCATTTGAGGAAAACAAATTTAATGTAATAGACTTTAGAAAGGAACTATCAGGCTACACGTTAGTCTGAATCACATGGGAGGTGAACAAGTTACCACTTGCTGGTTTGATCAATATATGGGCATAGTGAATTACAGAATAAAATAAATCAGAATGAAAGATACATAACCATTACCAGGAAAGTAACAAACATAGGATAAATGTCAGGAGTTTTTGTGCAGGACTCAGGGTCTTCCTAAACCTGAACAACGTAGCACATTGTTGCTGAAACTGGAAAAGTCCCAGGTTAGCTTTTGTGTGGCCCCCCTTGTCTTTCATCCTACTGTGAGGAGATACATCGCAGTGTTGGTTTTTGCCTAGGACCCTGTGGGCCAAGAGGTAAGCCAGGCAACGATGGAAAACCGGGAACTCCTGGACCCACTGGAGAAAAAGGCAACAAAGGTTCTAAAGGACAGCAAGGTAAAGCAACAAAGAAACAACCAGAAAACAAACATCCTACCCAGTTTCCTTCCACAAAGCAGTACTGTTTCAGTACACAGAGAAATGTCCTGTTTAAATGTATGACTATAAGGGGCCGGGGAGGTGGTTCAGTGGAATAAGCACTTCCCTGGCAAGTTCAAGGGCCTGAGTTCAATCCCCAGTTCCAAAAAATAAATAAATAAATAAATAAATAAATAAATAAATAAATGTATGACTATAAGAATAGCCTAGTTCTTTCAGTTTGCATTGTTCAGATTAGACCAAAGGCCAGGGGCTGTGTGTTCTTTTGGAAAAGGATGAGAAATAAAGAATTACTAGAATATGCTACTCTCCCTACCTTAAGCAGGTGTACTCCAGATTTTTGGCTTGATGCAATCTCGGCGGGGGGTGGGGGGGATGAATGGCGATGTACACGACACGTACCAAGAGCAGGCAACTGTGCTAGCATTGCAGGATAACCAAAGATACAGGAAGACCTAATCTTTAAAAATCTAGTGATAGAGGGGACTAGGGTCAACAATTTCTGACATTGCCAGTGAAGCGGAAGACCCAATACTATTATGGGCTACTGGACTCTTTTAGAATATTTTGCTGAGTTTACACACCTATAATATTCAAATAACGGAATTTAACAAAAAAAGGGGATACAGATGAATGTCCATTTTGTATCTGTGTATTCAAAGTGGTTGGGATAGATACATAGTTACATTCTCTTAATGAATAGAGTGATTTGTTCTAATGGTGTTTGTAAATAGGAAATTAAGTCCGCATCTTGTACAGCAATTAACCACTAAGAAGATTGTATGCAGTGTGTTAATTATTGAAACTGTCCTACCGATTTGATTTGAAACTGTCTCATTGCTATTTGTTTATCAATAAAATTATGTCAAAAAATAAATAAATAAATAAATAAATAAATAGAATTTTAAAAAATCTAGTGATAGAGATATACAAATATCTATAATAAAAGGCATTTTTGTAGGAAAGCTGGGTAACAATAATGTCACTCAGCCATTGGGTAAGCCACTCTTTTCTAGGGTTCTTTTCTGTATTTGGGGCTTAGCAGACAGAGAAAAGCATTTAAGTTAGTTCTTGAGAATACAAATCTGAGATTGTCATGCACCAGCACTGCACATTTCTATGTGTATTTTAAAAGGACCGCCTGGATTAGATGGATTGCCGGGTTTGAAGGGAAAACCTGGAGACAGTGGATCACCTGCAACCGGGACAACGATGACAGGCTTTGTCTTCACCCGCCATAGTCAGACCACTGTGACCCCTTCCTGTCCAGAGGGGACACAGCCCCTCTACCATGGCTTTTCTCTTCTTTTTGTACAAGGAAATGAACGAGCCCATGGACAAGACCTTGGTAATATTTCAGTTCTAGTTTCCAGTCTTATGTAGATTGTAGATTTTTTTTAGCAGAAGGTACTTCTTTTGAAGGAAAGCGTAAATCCCCTTGAGAATGTTCCAGCATGTTCCAAGGAAGGCAGCTGGCCTAAGGCCTAGTCCTCACTCTAGCACATAAAACTGGTGGAAGGAGCATAGACTGTTCTACTCACTGCACATGATTTTCTCTTAAAATACCTGCCCACTTTTTAACCTCAGCAGTAATATCTTTTCCCAAGGCTTTATGTAGTTATCATCTATAATTGGAAGTACTTAAAGCAAAGATACTACCCCCAAGTTCTAGACAGATTAAATGGCCACAAGAAGTATGAATGATTGGAGATGGAAGATGTGTTTGCCTCTCAGGGCTTTGATCTCTATAGTTCCTAAAATTTTTCAATGCATATTTTGCAGAGAACTCCCTTGCATTGTCTCTGTTCAGGTTTGCCGCAAGTTATGTGTTAATTAGCCTTCTGTTAATAGTGTCACTCAAAATAATCTTAACATACTTCAAGTGATACTTAGTCTTGTGATTTATCAGGAACTCTTGGCAGCTGTCTGCAGCGATTTACTACAATGCCATTCTTATTCTGCAACATTAATAATGTATGTAATTTTGCATCTCGAAATGATTATTCATACTGGCTGTCGACACCAACTCTGATGGCAATGGACATGGCCCCAATTACTGGCAGGGCCCTGGAGCCTTATATCAGCAGGTAAAAAGCTAGTCCCTTGCATTTTTCAGTGCTATTTTTTTTTTTTTTGTGGGGCTGGGATTTGAACTCAGGATCTTGTACTTGCCAAGCAGGCCCTGTATTACTGAGCTATATCTTTGTTCCCAGTTCTTTAGTTTTGTAATGGAACCATGTGGATCATGTTGCTTGTGATGGGATGAAATGGTGCAGAAAGTGGGGTGCAGCCCTTATGTTTGTTTCCTGTTACAGATGCACTGTCTGTGAGGGTCCAGCGATGGCCATAGCAATTCATAGTCAAACCACTGCCATTCCTCCTTGTCCCCAAGGCTGGATTTCTCTCTGGAAGGGATTTTCTTTCATCATGGTGAGGAGAAAAAGAATCGTAAATGTATAGTAACAATTACCTGTAAAAAGTTATGTCGTGCCAGGTAAAAATGTGTTCCTTAGGACAGATGCTGCCTGATAATAGGTGCAGTATGGTATAGGCATCTGTTTGAAAGTCTACAAACGTGCATTTAAAAAAATATTGATTTCGTTGAATAGTAGAGCAGTTTATCCATCACACTTCTCTCTCTACCATCCAATTTTATGAGTAAGAATGCACTAAGAATGTCCTTAAGTTCTCACAACTAGGATTTGAATCCAGGTCTATCTGCTCCAAAATTATTGAGCTTTATGTTGTGCCTCTTTTCCTGTGAAGATTAAAAAAAAAAACAGCTTTGGGGGGGCCAGCCAGATAGCTCAGCAGATTAAAGCACCTGCTTAGGCAGACACAGGGACCAGGATTTGACCCCTAGTATGCCATGCTGGCCCCTCCCCAGGGCACACTGAGACAGTGTGGTGGCGCACACCTACAATCCCAGTGCTTGGGGGGCTGAAAACAGGAGGATCACTACAAGTGTAGTCTGTGTAGTGAGACTCTGTAGACCCTGTACTAAATACATGAATAAATAAAATAAGAAACAGCTTTGGAAAAGCATTCCCGCAGATGTAAGTGCCATACGGTGTGGCCCGACCATCTGCAATGCTGAATATTCACTGTCTGTGCCGTACTGTTTATGACACATCATTCCCTTTCCTTACCAAGTTCCTTTGTTCAAATCCCTAAAAACTATCTGTGCATACCCACCACGTGCCAGGACTGTTCTAAGCTCTCAGGAGTCCGGAGGCCAAATTCCTGCTCTCATGGAGCTTCTATCCTGGTGACCCAGATAGATAACAGGCAAGAGGACAGAATGCATTGATGGTGGCAAGAGACCAGTTGGTGGCAGGAATCATGAAAGAAATAAGGCAAAGTAAGGGAGAGGCTGGAAAGAGAATGAGGTGAAGGGAAGCCTTTCCGAGGTTATACATAAGGAAGAAGCTCCTGGAAAGATGCAAAAGAGCCAGCCAGCTTTGAGGAGGGGTACAGACAACCTGGAGGAACCTAGAATGTTAGCAAATCTGAATAAAGGACAGGAAGTTTAATTTGTGCTTTCTAGGATTTTTTTTTCCTTTTCCTATTGTCTTATATTACTCCCCCCAACTCCACCCCTCCCCCTCAAAAAAAAAAAAAAGTAGAGACTGGGTCATGCAAAACACCAGAGCGTTTATTGAGATATGTGTATTGTGACAGTTCACAAGTGCAGGTTCTGAGGGTGCTGGACAGGCACTGGCCTCCCCCGGCTCCTGTCTGGAGGAATTCCGAGCCAATCCATTCATAGAATGTCATGGAAGAGGAACGTGCAACTACTACTCCAATTCCTACAGCTTCTGGTTGGCTTCCTTACACCCAGAAAGAATGTTCAGGTAACTGATGTCAAGCTTAATCTGATGACTCAACTGCAGACCTAGCCAAGGTTATCTATGCTGCCTTTTCTGTATCTATGTGCAGATATAAGTCACACTTAACCCCTTACCCAAGAAATAAAATCCTGTTTGGCTTGATATTCCTAGTTTGCAAGCATTTTTAAGTCAATAAGTAGCCATGGTTTTGTGCAACTGTGCCACTAAAGACAAAATGTATGATTTTTACCATCATTAAACACACTTGATATTTACATATCAATTTGTAGTACCTTATCCAGTGAAGCCACTATGACATGGTAATCTCAATTACTATTATTAGAAGACTTGTGAATGAAACAGATTATTTGAAGGGTTGAATAGTTTTAGGACCAAAAAATAATCTGTATGTTTCCTGAGTGCTACCGACATATAAGTAAAATTATAAAATGGATTTTTCAGAAATTCATTCCTTCCATAAAGATATTCTTGTCACATAATTTACAACAGCTATACTATTCATTGATAAAATTCACCCCAGCAATTTATAAATCAATGAGTTCTTTGTTTTTATTTCAGAAAACCTATTCCATCAACTGTGAAAGCTGGGGAGTTAGAAAAAATAATAAGTCGCTGTCAGGTGTGCATGAAGAAAAGACATTGAAGAAATTAAAGAAAATAGGACTCCTCCTTTTCCCTCTCCTAAATAACAAAGTGATGGCCCAAAACATGCATTCATTTAAGTATTTTCCTCTAGCCAAACAATGCTGCTCTATGAGGCATTAGTAGTGCAAAGTTTAAATTTGTTTCCCAATACAACATGGCACGTCCTACAAGTTACTTCTGTGATCTTCATCTCTACCTTCAAACAAGACAACAATCTTTACAGAATATCACTGAGGTCAAATTCCACTTGTATCCAAAGCACTCTCTCAATGGAGACTGTATGAAGCTTGAATACTACAAGCTAAGAGATAGATACTTGATCCATTGGATTTTTTGACTTTTGTCCTTTTTTGCTTCTGGTCTTAAAAAGAATTAGTAAGGCTAACTTGGTCTTACACTGCTCTCCTACCTCTTTCCTGTAATGCTGGGCTTAGGTAGAAGAGCTGGAGACACGCAGAACACTGAAGAATCATGCGCAGACTCGGACTTGCAGATCAGCTGAGTAATACAAGGCCTGAGAAAACACAGAATTGAACTGAGGTTCATAAATTTTCCACAATTCAATCAGACATACCAAAAACTAAGGCCAAAAAAGTGGGTTCCCTGGGAGGAACCATAGTAGTCTTTGAAATAAGTATTTTTTAATAGATTTCTCTGAAGATTTGTGTTAATCTGTTCATTGAATTCATTTCATTCTATCAGTACAAGCTGTCTGTACTCAAAGTGGATAAAATGTTTACTTTTAGTGAATTCATTTTAATAGGATGGTACTACATGCATACTCTGAAATATATCAAAGTTTTAACTTCTTTTTTCTACTGTACTCACACACAAAAAAGGAAGGAAGGAAGGAAGAAAAAGAGAAAAAGAAAGAAAAAACAGACAAAGGACACTGCTTGTTAGATGTGCACTTTACCCTCATCTCTGGAAATGTTGGTGCAAACCTATAATGGGGTGCAGTAGGATCAATAATCCATGGAAGAATGTTAGAGATCTGCTGGCTCATCAAGCTGAAAATATTTTTTATTTTTGCTCTAAATAGCTTATGAATTGGTTTTACAGATTTGTTCCTCTTCTTACTTTTAATTTTTCCTGTGTGAAAATTTTCTCATGTTATATGTATTCTTACAATCCACATTGAGAGAAACCATTGTCTAAAAACCTTAATGTACAACCTGTATAACTTGGCAACTGTACGTCTTAAAACTTGCTTTTCCCTGTGTTGATACATTCCCAAGGCTGCTTAGTACAACTGAACAAGCTTTTTCTTCAACACCAAGTGATGTCCCAGAGACTATGATAAACGAGACACTAACAGAGAAACAGAAACAGATAGAAAAGATACTTGTTTCTAATCTAAGAACTCCTAAGAGATAACTTAGTTCTGCCAAGAATCACATTCAGGGGCTGGTGATGTAGTTGGGTGGTACAGCGTGTTAGCCTGCTCCAGACCCTAGCTTTAGTCCGCAGCAGCAAAATCAGACAAGGGAGAAGGATTTTGTGTGTATGAGTCTTTCTGTCCCTTTTCTTCCCTTATTATTTGTATATCTCATCATCATCACTCAGCAGGCCTGAGTAAAGGTTGAAAAATAAAATCTATGCCCAGGGAAAGCCTACACTCCTGGCATCTCTTAGGCACCTCAGGAGCTCAAGTCGGGACAATTTTTAGAGAACAAAGACGTACGAAACATTTTTAACTCTGTCTACATGATGGTAGCATTACCTGATGACCTCCGAGGCCAGGTACCAAAGGCCCAGTTTTCAGGGTGCTTCTTTGTCCACCTGCGGTGGAACTGGTGCTGATACTCCATACAGACTCCTGCTCCCGTGTCCGCTGCCCTGAAGGGAAAGGTGACCCTGGAGCGGGACGAGGTTTACGGCCCCCACTGCTCCCATAGCTGCAGTGAAGCCATTTTTACATCACTATTAAAATGTGCAGCGTTTTATTTATTTAGAGTATGTACTTAGATTCACCTACAGTAAGGCATTCCTTCTCTAAAATACCTTTAATGTAATTGTACCGTCTGTGGCGAGAGGGCCCGCTGTCAGCCACAGCAGCATCTCGCAGGAACTGGGCACAGATGCAAATTCTAGGCCCATTCCAGACCTAAAAAGTAGAAACTGCACCTCCACAAAGCCTCTGCATGATTCCGATGCACTCGAAAGACTTGAGAGAAGCTGCTCCAGGAAAACACCCCAGAGAGGGGCCACAGCTGCACCCTCTTGGTCTCTTCAAAAAAGTCCAAACTCCTAGATGACCTCAAAGTGACCTACTGTACTCCCCCCAAAAGCCTCGGGCTGCCCAAGGCCAGGCGCCAGGCCTTCCCCGCAGCGCAGGCTTCTCCCTCTGCCCTCCCCCTCCAATCAGTATTGAGCCTCGGAGGAAGACCAGTGACGCTGAGCCCTAGTTCCAGTGAAACCATATGAACAGATGCCCTGCCCCTCTGAAGAGTGACCGTCACCTTGCAGCTCATAGGTTATTTTCCAGATATCTATGCGTAGCTCATGAGGTTTTAAAGATTTAACTTTGTAGCTAAAATGTAAGTAACTTGCTTCTTTTAAAATTGGGGCCTCAACCTCAGAATTTCACAGTGTGCTAAAAACAACCAATTTCTCAGAGTTCTTTGTTCCTGTAATATAAACATTATTAATTTATTTATAAGAGTATTAAAATGTTTAAATTTGAATTTTATTGCTAACTTACAAAGATTTTTCTATATATCAAATGTAACTTACTGCTACTAAATTTAATATTTACTACATTACAAAAATGAAATATATTTAAAATATATTGAATGTTTTATATTGTTGTATCCTGACAGAATTACAATATATTGTACTAATATTTCTGTAATTACACTTAAAATATTATATTGTTTTGTCAAAATAAAAGTGAAAAAAATGGGAACTGGTTTTCATTTTTTTTAAATGAAAATAAATTTATCTTGGCTTTTTAAAATAATATATGCTCTCTGAGAAAACAATAGACAACACAGAAGTTATGAAGGTATATGCCATTCCACAATCCTTTTCTATAAATATTGGGTCTTCAGGTGTACAGGGTCTCACTATGCAGATCAGACTTGTAGTAATCCTCCTGTGTTCAGCCTCCCAAGCCCTGGGATTACAGGTGCACGCCACCATGCCCCATCTCAGTCACCCTCTCAGTGCGCCCTGGGGTTGGGGCCGGCATGGCATGCAGGGGATCAAACCCCGGCCGCTGCGCTCAGCCTAAGCAGGCACTTTAATGCCAAGGCACTAAGCTATATGGCCGGCCCTTATAAAAAAAAAGTTTAAATATGATAAAAGCATGCTTTATCATTAGGGGTTTTTTTGTTTGTTCATTTTATTATTTTCAGCTTAACATGTTGTGGGCAGATTTTCACATCAGGAGACACGAACAAGCCATCCCTTTGATCAGAGTCCACTGTGTGGATCCACAGCACAGTCAGTGCATCCTGAGCTGATGCACAGTTCATTTAGTTTTGTTATAGACATTCTGTGAATGTGTCAGCTCACATACTGCCTCAGGATAAAGCTCATATAAGATGTCATAGAATTAAAGGGGTCGCATACACAAAAAAATGCTCAGTAGAAAAACATTCTTAATATTTCTATTACTGTATTCAATATAAAATACTGAATATTGTTCCTTCATATTTTTGCCTGCCTCATCAGTTTGACTGATATTTTGCTTATTATCAGTGAGGCTGAATATTTGTCACTCTAATTAGTGGTGCTTTTGGTTTTTTTGTTTGTTTTTGGTTTTGTTTTTTTTTGTTTTTTGGTCTTTTTGAGACAGGGTCTCACTATGCAGTTCAAGCTGGCCTTGAGCTGACTCTGTAGCCCACCCTGGTCTTAAAACTCCCAGTGACCCTCCTGCCTCAGCCTCAGGAGTGCTGGAATTATAGACATGTGCCCCTGCATCCAGCCTCTAATTAGGATCCTTTAAAATAATACTTATTATAACTACTTTTTAAAAATTTAAGGTGAAGAACCAAATCAGATCTTTGTTCATTTTTCTAATGAGGTGCTCATTTTTCTAATGAAGTAAGGCCTATAGATTATAAAAAGTATGGGTCTTATATTCTGATGTTTCTCATTAATGATACCAAGGCTCCTCAATCACATAAAATAATTCAAAAATTTTCAAATGTAGATAATTGGTAAAGAATATTCAAAATTTGGAATCTCAATTTGGGGGTGTGTTAAATTACAATAAAGAAATAAATATAAGCGAAATAATAATTAAAGGAGGAAATGGAAAGAACAGTGATTCTAAACCATTTCAAGAAAATTGTTAAATAAAAGTTTGAAACACATTAATAATTAAGCCAAATCTAATTGGAAAATACTGTGCATCAAAGTGTACAAATCTAATTCATTCTACTGAACCTATTTGTACTGGTGCTGAGTGGAATAAAAGCTGTGTTTGGGCACATTGTCTTTCTGTCTGCTATCAGCCTGTTTGGAAAGGAAAATTCTGATCACTCCCTGCTGGATCCTTAGCAACTTATTAGCAAGGTATTCACAGAACACACAGAGTGCGGCCTCCTCCAGTTTGGGCCCTAGGCATGTGACTCAGAGCAGTAACCGCAGATCTATCTATTGGAAACAAATAGGTTAAGAAGCAAACACAGAAGAAAAAGTAACTGATTTTTTTTTTCAGATTTTTAATAAACACGCCAAAAGCATAGTTTCAGAAAACACAGTCTTTCCCAGGATTTTGTGAACTGTATTGTTGTAGGTGGCCAAGTCAGATAGAAATTATAGGCAGCCAGACAGGGTGAGGCCCTCAAAAGGCCCAATATGGACAGCAAGATAACTCGCAAGTGTGGGAGAGACCTCAAGACAGTAAATTAAACAAATGCAGTCACCTACCTCCCTAGGGATGGACATCAAGGACTAATATTTTAAATAGATAGCACTCACACTGAAAAAGCCATCAACAGTCACTAACTCAGCCCCCTACAAGAAAAGCCCCTTCTGTATTCATGCCCACTTGCGTTGTGACTCGCCTCCCCACTTAATCCTGATTTAATCTATTTTACCTTACAATTGTGCTTGTGATCTTACTGGAGGACCACAGTTTTGTCCTACTTCATGCCCACCTAGAGAGTTCCCATGTTTTCCACATGAGACCTGCCTCACCCCATGGTTTTCTTCTATAAAAATCCCTAGAAAAGGCAGATTCTTTGGCAACCCGCTAGGGCTCCCCTTCAGTCCCTCTCTCGGACACGAGCTTTCTTTTCCTCAATAAATACATTCTGTTCTTAACCTCCATTGTTCCTTAAATTGATTCTTTGGTTTTAGAGAACTCAAACATGTCACAGGTGTCTTTCAGGTTGAGAGTTTTAAACATTCCCCTGATAAAGGGGGATGTGAAATTCCCAACCTGGCCTGAATGAGTTCGTGTTCTCTAAAACCGAAGAATGAATTTTAGGAACAAACGGAGGTTGAGGGTAAAACTTTATTGGAAAGGAAAGCTTCTGTCGGAGAGGGACAGAAGGGGGTCCCGAGCGGGTTGCCCAGGAAGCGGTCTCCTTCAGGTTATTTTTATAGGACAAAACCATGTAGTGCTAAGGTAGAGACAAAGGGGTCCCGCTTAGGCAGATACAGGGTGGGGCAAAACTATGGTCAACCAATGGGATTACAAGCACCATTGCCCAGGTAAAATTTATTAGGCCCAGGACCAAATGGGGTAGTGAGTCATGAAGCAAGCGGGCAACATTATCTGGTGGCCTTCAGTCGATGATTCTTCCTGACTAATGAGCAATCCTGGATGCCAACTTTAGGGAGGTCAGCATTTGTTTGATCTTTAGGTCTGGCTCACACCAGGAGCATCTCCCCAGTAAGCTGTCTGGTCTTTGTCATCTCCTTCGAGGGCCTGTCCCTGTCTAACTACCTACAATATTTCTATCTAACTCAGGCTGCCTGCAACACCCCTATATCACTTCGATTTTTCTACAAAATGCCCACATTGTTCAAAACCTTTAGAGAACTATTTATTGCTTTAGAATTATCTTCAATTCCAATTTATGATCTAAAGAAATAGGCCTCACTACTTTATATCCAAGGCCTACAACGTGATGAATACACCTAGGTCCACAGTGTATAGGTGAGTGAGATACAGAATTTTATCTTAAACGCTGAATTTATTTTCTAGTAAGGAAAAACAAGACGAACATGTGAATAATTATAATATTGAACAAAATGCAAATGCTACAAGCAATAAAAAATTGTGTTTGCGAAGCTGGAAGCCTCAGGAAATGATTCTTAACAGAGGGAATGTTGTAGGCGATCCTTGAAGGGAAGACAGGGTCTAAGAAGCAAAAGCTGGGGCACGCTGGCATTCCAAGTGGCAGCCAAAGAATGGGTAGGTGCAAGTAGTTCAGGCAGTAACTGGTGATCCAAGTGATCTATCTGTACACACCCCGTGGCTAACGAAGAAGAGTAATGTTGCGAATATGTTGCGTAGATTTTAGATTACTAGGCTGAATTTGTACCAGGTGTGATCAAACCCACCACGAATGGTTACATTTTCAAAAGCGTTACAATAGAAGATACACTGCCATCGATCCACCCTTCCTGGGCCTTCTTGGGGAGTCAGGAGTTAGGTGGTTAGGCTTATAGATCTAGGGGAGCCGAACAAGGCTGCTAACCACCAGGAAGCCTAACTTCAGCCTTTCCTTGGTTCTTAACCCGAGGGTTTGGTGAGTAAGCAAAATTATAGCGTTCCTAAGAATCAGCCCAAATTCATCCAAGTGTTCTGATTGCTGAGCTTCACATTACAGAAATTACGAGGGAGGTAGTCCTACAGAAAGTGTTCTTAACTGGCTCCCGAAGGTTTACCTCGCGCGGTTAGTACGGACCACTAACATTTCCCAAGTGGAAACCAAACCCAAGCGTCTCATTAGCCTCCGACCGCTCACCCTGCCCACAACAAAGATGGCTCCCTTGCGTCCTCACTGGTCCTGACTCTCTCTGCGCGAACCGTAGGTTCCGCCCTTTCCCGAATCACATGACTACAAAACAGCTTCCGCTACGGCTCCTGAGAGGGGCCAATACCAGCCGTTCTGCGTCTGTCCCGGCCCGCTGCGGGCCGCTCCGCGGGTGCCTCGCCCGGGGTGCCCTAGGCTCTCGGCCAACGGCCTCTGCGAGCGCCCCGGGAGCCGGCGGGCGGCGGCCCTGTCCGGGACGCTCCGGGGGGCCCAGGGGTGAGTGCCGACCCTTCCCGACCCGAAACTGTCTCCGTGCCGGCGTGCGGGCCTCTCTCGGCCGGGAGCCCCCAGCGCGGGCCGCCCGAGCTGCCGCTGCGTCCCGACCCCGCGGTGCGCCCGCAGCCCCGGGGCCCTCGGCTTCCGAGGAGAAGCACCTGCTGCCCCGAGCGAGTTCGGGCCCACCCCGCCCCCTTCTAGTCGGGCACTGGGTTGGTGAGTCAGTTCGGGTTTTACTGACCAAAGACGAGTCCGGGGGGAGAGCCGGCGGGAGGGCGAGTCGGCGGCCCGGTGCCGCCTCCCGCCGCTCCTTCCCCGGCGAGGCCGCGACCCCGCACGGCGTGACCTTGAGCCGCCGCCTTTGGGAGGCTTGCTGCGCGGGCGGGCGCGCGGCGTCCTGCTCGCGGCGGGCCGGGGATCCGGGCCGGAGCCGCCGGCGGGCGGGCGAGTCCGGGAAGAGCGCCTCTTCGCAAGGGCCGAGGGTGCGCTGCGTGGGCGGCCTCTCCCTTGGACGCCTGTGAGGATGCTGCAGGTTCTCTTTCCGGGGTGAAGACTTCGGTGTCTGCCTCGAGTTCATTCTCGTTGGCTAATGAGATCCCCCAAAGAAAAGCTACTGGGGAAATGAGGACCGTGCAAATTATACTTAGTCGCTGTTCCTCCCACGCAGTTAAATTGCTTGGGGCGCCGCTGCGTTTTTGGTTTCAAAGGCTTGTGAACTGTTGCTATTCATGCCTCAGGAAATGGTGTGTCGTCCCCCTTCCGCTCTGATAGGGCTGCCTGTCATGTTAGGATTTCAAAGCTTAGCTGTAGCGCGCCTCCCTGTAGCTGCAGCAACTTTTCAGTGGTTAATAGAACTTTAAGAAGTTTGTAGGAACTTTTCTTTGATTGTTTTGTCCGTTTGAGACAAGGTCCGCAGTGCACTTCTGTCTGGCCTTGAGCCCACTTTGTAGCTCAAACTGATTTTGAACTCAGCGATCCTCCTGCCTCAGCCTCCAGAGGGCTGGAATCACAGGCATGTGCTACCACATTCGGCTTATTAACAATTCTTGAAAAAGAAAATGAACCTGGGATCGCTTCAGCCTAGTTTTTCTAATGCCCAAGAACTGTAGCAGAGTGACCTAAATAAAAACCTTGAGGTACGTCCACAGTGTTAAAGAATTAGACATTTGTGTTGTAATTGGAGAATTAGGGTAAATTTTTATTACTACCACCATCGGTTGGAGCGAGGTTGTTTTCTGGGACTCTCCAGTGTCTAACGTAGAAAGTTGGGCTTGCATCACTGTGGCCTGCAGTAGGTATGTTTTCCACCAGTGTCTTAGCAGAAGGTGATGTGTGGTTGAGGGGTTTTTTTTTTTGTGATACTTATATTTTTATTATATATATTTGTTTGTACACCAAATCCCTGCTTTAAGATGTACTGATGTAACATTTACTTTTAAAATACATTTCTTTGAGAAGTCAAATAAAAGAAGTGTGACCTGGAATGAATGTATTATGTGAGTGCAGGGGGAAACCCCTGAAGTTAGTACACATTGCTGACATTTGGGGACCAACAGCGCTTGGAAAGTCAAATCCGAAGTTAGGTCTGGTTCCCTGAGGATTGCGGCTTGTTGGTTATGTAACAGGATCGCGCACAGGTTGCCTTGTAGATTCTAGACTTGTGGAACTAACGCGCTAATCTCAAATGAGAAATTAATTTAGTGCTAAAAGATACCATCCAAAAAGCTGTAGTCCAGTAAGGGAGAAAAATGATTAGCTTCGGATCTTTTTATTTAAGCAGTAAACCCAACTGCTTAAATAGTATAAACAATAGTATAAATTTTAATGGAAAAGTGGCGTTTACTTTTTAAATGTAGGTGATTCAACTCTGGGACCCTTGGGCCTTTCCTAGACGTTGTCTTCAGCAGCCTCCTCTGTAGTGTAAGTCTGTGTGTGATTCTGTGCAGATTCAGAACCGTGGGAAAAGCTGTTGCTGTAGAATGAAGAAGTGTCTGCACCCTCGGGGTATAGGTTAGTAAGAAGGCAGTGGAGGGACTGCGGGAACTGGCAGGTTTCTTTATATATAAACTTTATATATAAAGTTTATAGTGTCCCAATTTGTAGTTCTTTTCAGGTATTTCTTTTCTGTTCTTTCTGAATGTTAGCTTTTGCTGTGCCTGAGATACAACTATTTGAAAAATATTTCATCTAGAATGATGCACAAAAATAGATAAATGGAGGTGGCTTGTGGGGACCTGCATAATTGATGATAGTGACGGGACTCTGCATTTTCTCTCTTGCTTTGTTTGGCTTGGTTTTTTTGAGCATCTTGCTATGGCCTTGAATCCACCATGTCGCACCGTATGGCCTTGAATCCACAGCGGCTCTCCTGCCTCAATCTGCGGGGCATATTTGCCACCAGGCCTGGCCATTTTCTCTATATTCTTATGCATTTGTATCACATGGATTTCTTACTGGTGCAAGTTTTGTGTTTTTTTTAACATTTTAAATAAATGAAGATATAACCAGTATGTTTATGCCACGTTTGTAAGTATTAGATTAACAAACATTTTGACTCACCACATTTTTCCAAGTCCAAATCTCAAGCAATGGTAGACACAGTCTTCTATCTTGGCTTACATAACAAACAAGGACTAAAGTTGTTCTCAGCTTCCTTGGGATCGTGTGCAAGTACACTCTGCCTGTGAGCTGCATTCCCAGACCTTTTTTGAGAAGGGAATTTGCTAAGTTTCCCAGGAAAGACTCAAGGTGAAGCTGTGCGTCGTTGTGGCTTTTATCATTTGCAGAATTTCCAGCTGGACGCCTGATACTTGCACGAGCTTTCTTAGTTCTCCCACTTTTCTCTCGCAGGGACTGACGAGGCTCCAAGTCCAGCCCATGCACAGGAAGCAAGTTAAGGATTAATATGAAGCTCAGAAGCAGATAGTGCCAGACAACGAGCAGTACTTGGTACACATTTGTGAGTAAAATGTTCTCTTTTGGCCTTCTTTTCTTAGTCATTAAACTGTCTGCATGCCAAGTCCTTCATATTCAGACTAACAGAAGCTCGCTAGCAGTCCAGGTCAGACCAACTGGCAGAGCTTAGCTCACCGAGCCCACTCTTCTCAGGAGGCACTTAGGGCAGGGAGTGCATTGATGAGGTCGTTAATGTTTTATTGTATTTGACTTCTGCATGTGCAGTATCTTTCACTGAATGGTTGGTATAATTTGATCTTTGATGTTTATTTCCTTTTAAGGAAACTATTGCTTACACATTAGTTTTAGGTACCTCCAGTGCACTTACTGTTATCCTTTGTGTTCTCTTCACAATTTTGTCATTTGTATTTAGTCTAAAAAAGGAAAAGTTTCTTCACTGAGAATATGTGAGGGATTTTATGTCAGTATTGGTTTTTACTAGCCTGAGTTTACATTTGTATCAACATTTGATAAAGCTTTTATCTTTGTTTGCAAAAAAATCACAAAACAATGACTAAACTTAAAGGCATCTGTGTGATTTTGGGAATATACACAATCACTCTTTAGGAGACATGCAAAAATTAGTTTCTCAGATCAAGTCCCAAGCCCTGTTCAAATCCAAAAGCAATTTTATATATAAGTATTTACCTTTAATCATAGTTTTCATGTGGAATGGATTGTTGAAATACTGATTTTTATTCTTTCTTTTTTACAGCTGGAAAAGCAGTGTCCGTGTTGTTATGTACACCTCCAAAACAGTTCAGATCTGTAGGGGACTTGTGTAAAGTCACGGAACTGCAGAGTAGCAGTGTTTTCATAGCTGTTGTAGGCCTGTGTTTACTGTGTTACAATGAGTAAGAGAACAAGCAGCGACACGCCCCTAGGAAGGTCAGTGGCTTTCCTGAGCTGAGCTGCGCTGCTGGTTGAGCAGCAGCGGCCGGAAGGCTGTCGACCAGGCTTGGCGTGCTCCTTCCTGCTTTAATTCTGTGTTTTGGGGCAGCATGTTTCCTCCTGCATTTCTCTGGGACTAGGAATTTCTCTGCAGTTTAGAAGTTTACTGAATGCATTTGTGTTATCTTTATTCTAAAAGCATTTGATGCTTTAAACAGATATATAAAGTATATATTCGATGTTCATTGTATCTGTTGTCAGATATATGTTCATTAAGAAAGGCTTTATGTGATTTTAAGAGGGTTACATCTTTTTTTAAAATTTAGAATTAAGCTTATTTATCTTTGGAGGCTGATTTTCATCTTTAAAGGCTTTTTGTGCATGGTGCAATTTTTTTATTTTAATTTTATGAAGTACAAACAGCTTTCTTTCAAATAACATAAGTTTTTTGTTTCTAGTACTGGGAATCAAACCCAGGTCCTTATGCATGCTAGTAAAATCCTCTATCAGTGAGCTACACTCAGCCCCTGATTAAGAAATTTTAGTTTAAATTTTATTTCAGGCATTTTTGAGTTATAAGCAGCACGTATATTTGTTTATGCAGAGAGAGAGAGAGAGAGAGTGTGTGTGTGTGTGTACGTTGTAGTTTTATAGTACTTTTGAAGTTTGTTCCTGAGCAGTAGTGTCACAGTGCATTTTCAGCTAATAAGAAAGCATTATGTGGGAGAAACCATTTCTTCAATCCTTTACTTTGGTATGTATTCAGCACTTGGCAAATGAGAAGTTTCCGTTTGCTTTTTCTGTCATAAGGTATTCTAACATCACCGCACAGAGGAGACTGACATTCTACCAGTCGGTCATCTTGCTCCTAACATTTTTCTCCCACAGGGTTAGCGTGGCAGCATTTCCTTCTCCCACTGCTGCTGAGATGGCAGAAATTAGTCGAATTCAGTATGAAATGGAATACACCGAAGGTATTAGTCAGCGAATGAGGGTCCCGGAAAAATTAAAAGTCGCACCACCAAATGCTGACCTGGAACAAGGATTCCAAGAAGGAGTTCCAAATGCTAGTGTGATAATGCAAGTTCCAGAGAGGATTGTTGTAGCAGGTATTGTACATTTGCTTCAGAATTTGCCTATTGGGGCCAGGGATGTAGCTCACAGTCCCTGAGTTCAATTCCCAGTACCAAAAAAAGAAAAGCATTTGCCTAGACTTTTATTATATATATTTTTATGAAACCTTTGGGGATTTTAAAAAATATTATTTTGAAAAAGGGGTTGGGAATGCAAGTTATATTTCAGAATTTTTATTCATTACAGTAGTAAATTTTAAGCAATTTTAAAAATAATTCAATAGTTTTCTATCAAATCCATTTTAAAGTGTGCCTCTCATGATTTGACAAATGTACAGTCATGTAGCCACTGCTGTAATGATGCAGACCGTTACCCCAACAGGTTCCTTTGTACTCCTTTGCTGAGTTCCTGCTTACCCTTCAGTTAGACAAGCATAACCCAGAAACTAGGTTTGTCTTCCTTAGAGTTTTATATGAATGGAATTACTCAGTGCACCCTGCCTCATCTGGCTCCTTTTGCTCAGAGTAGTGTTTCCGAGGTTGTTCCATATTGTTAGCTTTATCCCTTGTTCACGCTGTCTCATTACTGGGTAGTGTTCTATGTGGGTATGTCATTAATGTGTTGTCATTTACCTGTGGATAGCCATTTGAGTTACTTCCTTTCGGGAGATCTTAGAATCAGGCTGCTGTGAATATTCATGTACATAAGTCTTTATGAGGACTTTTACCTCTAGAAGTAAAATTACAAGGTTGAAAATTTAACTTTTTCAAATATCAACGATTTTCCAAATTTTGTACCATGTTCCATTCCCATTAGTGATGCGTCTGAGTTTGATTTGCTCCGCATCTTTGCTAAGCTTAGATTGTCCCTAATTTTAGTTGCTTAGGTGGGCATATAATGGTGTTTCATTATCATTTTAATTATATTTCCTGGATAATGTAGTAGTTTAGAACATCCATTCGTGCTTTTGATCATTTATATATGATGGCCATTTGAAACATCTATTGAGATGTTTTGCTTTGAGTACTAGAGTTTTTGTATATCCAGGTATAGGCTTTGGCTTGGTTTTGTCATATGTGTGTGTATTACATAATTTCTTTGTAATGTGTACACCACAGTTTAGATTTTAATAAAATATCAGTTCTTACGCTGAAGATGTAGGGTTTTGAGACAGGGTTGCACTGAGTTGTAAAGTTGCCCAGCTGGCTCCAACTTGCAGTCCTCCTACCTCAGCCTCCCAGAGTGCATAGTACAGACGCTGTGCCCAGCTGAAAATATAGTTTTAAAGAATCAAATGCTGTTGCATAGGCTATAATACAGAACCATTTTAACAAACCCACTTTTAAAAAAGTCTCCCCTCATTTTTTATCCTTGTTTTTATTTTGTTATTCTCATTGTCCTCATTGTGTGCTTTTTCCCTCCTAGGAAATAATGAAGACGTTTCGTTTTCAAGACCAGCAGATCTTGACCTTATTCAGTCGACTCCTTTAAAACCTCTGGCACTAAAAACACCACCTCGTGTACTTACACTAAGTGAGAGACCACTAGATTTTCTGGACTTAGAACGACCTTCTCCAACCCCTCAAAGTGATGAAGTAAGTGGAGTTTTAACGACGATTAAATTTGAAAGAATATATAAAAAGAGAAATGTGAGGGAATTAAGAGGCAATGAATTATATTACTAGTAATAAGTAATGGAAGCTTTCTACCCAGAATACTGATTACTATCAGTTCTGATTTTTTAAGTTATCAAAATCATGCATTATGCTACTAATTTTATTATGCATCAAAAAATGAAAATTTTGTGGAAAATACTAGCATTTGTATAAACTAAAAGATAAAACCTTATGTATGGTTATATTTTAAACAATGCAGAGAAAATTAGGAAGTCTTGCAACAGGAAGAAATGAATGCATCATTTGTTATTAAAAAAAATCTGGCAAACCATACCCATTCTTGCTACTATATGAAATGTTTCCACAAGTCAATTGCTGTGTCCCATGCAGTATTAGTACCCTTGTTGACCTGAATGGAGGGATAGTGTCTAGTAAGTTGTTCCTGGTAGAGTTCCAATTTCGCCTCTGCTAGGTACTCAAGAGCAGTCTTCAGAAGCTTTATGACTTCTGTAGTTGCATGTTTTTCTTAAAGACAATGTGCAAACATTTTTTTTTTTATTAATGCCAATACTTTGTATGTCCCTTTTCATTTTTCACATGGTCCTTGCCAAAGAGGGTGAAACACGTATATGAGCTAGGGTGAAGCAGTTTTTAGCCAGTGGGTGTTGCTGTTTTTTAGGTTCTAAGTTTTTCCTGAAGTAATTGAGGTATAAAATGCTCAGAAATGCCAGTTTAAACATTCTAGATACTTTGGTTAGTGAAAAGCACAGAACTTGAGTGCTGGGTCACTAGACATCAGGGTACTTGCAAAAAAATTTTAGAACAGTTTTTGAGTTTCTCCGTAGACACTTGTATAGTAAAAGGGTGAATGATGGAGGTTCTTGCTCTTGGAAGGTTGACTCACTGCCTTATCACAGCAGGACAGTGGCACGAAGCTCACAGAAGATACAAAATGGCATAGAATAGGGAAATTTGTAAAGGTGGCTGCACAGAGCACAAGGTACCACAGCATTCATGTCCCAGTGAGAAGTCCAACTTCCCCAGCTCTCCAGACTAAGGCTTTTGCCAGGAAAGACATGCTTCCTTGGCTGTGTGTTGGGTTCTTTCTTATTCTTTTACTTTTTTTGGTCTTTTTAATATGGCCTTGCTGTGCAGCTCAGGCTGACCTTGAGCTCACTTTGTAGCCCAGGCTGATCTTAGACTTGCAGTGACCCTCCTGGCTCAGCCTCCTGAGTGAAGGTGTTTTCTTTTGATGTTTCTGCTCCTCCTGTTTTAGACCTTGCTGCCCAATGAAAAGGACTGATTTAAATCAACCCAAGTACTTTCCTGACTGATAACTTTAAAATTAAACAAAGACAAGTTTTAACAAGATTGCCTTCAGGTGTTTGGGTTCCCTTTTGCAGCATTTTTCTTATTTAGTCAAATGTGATAAATGCTCAGAGTTTGTAGCATTAGAACAAAAAACTGTAAGTTGAAGATTTGACACATCTGAACATGTATCTTGCCACTTAACCACATAATTTCAGTCAAGTTTTTTAAGTTCTAGGAGTTATCCATTAACTAAGGAAAACAATGATGCCAAGTACATAAACTTATTTTGAAAATTTATGTTAAAAGCATAGTGTGTATAATTTTTTTTTAATGTATTTAGTACAGGGTCTACAGTGTCTCACTACACAGATCGGACTTATAGCGATCCTCTTGTTTTCAGCCTCCCAAGCGCTGGGATTGCAAGACACACGCCACTACATGCAGTCTCAATCGCTTTCTCGGCGCTCCCCAGGAGCAGGGCTGAAACAACACATAAAGAATTGAACCCCTGCCCCTGTGTCTGCCTAAGCGAGCACTTTAATCCACTGAGCTATCTGGCCAGCCCTTTGAATAAATATTTTATAAAAATGTTCAAATTCTATAGCTGGAACCAAATCTTGAGGCCCAAGAAAGGAATTCTGAGGTTAGCACCAGCTCACTAGTAAAAGGAAAGCAAGGTGGCATGGTAGCTGGGAGTCTGAGCTAGGAGAATCACAGATTCTAGCTGAGTCTAGGCAGCTTAATGACTTAGTGACTGAAACTGTCATGAAATTAAAAGAAAAGGGGCTGAGGTGCCTCACTGCATAGGCCTCAGTACAACTAAAACCTCACAGAACTGAACTGAACCAAAAGAAAAGCAGGCAAGTAAGCAGTGATGGCAGTTTATAGTCTAAGCTTGTAGAAGGGCAAATAGCCCTCAAGAGACAACCGCCCATTGAGCAGAAGAGGGAGCCAGCCCGAGTTCTTGCTGCTCCTAGAAATGGACTGATGTGGGAGATCAGTAAGGTCCTGGGTATTGGTGACGCTGCTTCAGAGACTTCAGAGTCTGTAAGGGAATGCCCCAGCATGACCTGCCCTGTACTACTAAGTGGGTGCCAGGGCTTCTTAACCTCAGCACTGTTGACAGTTTCAGCTCTAGGATTCTTGGTTGTGGTGAGGGCTGTCCTTTTGCTCTGTAGAATGTTTAACAACTTCCAAGATTTCTAGCTATGGGATGCCAGTTGCATCTTCCAAGTGACAATCAAAAATAGCTCCAGTAGCTAAAAGACAGAAACAGTGGACCCCCTCATCACCTGATGAATGGATTAGCAGAGTGCGGTTGTATTCGTGTGATGACTGTAATCCAGTCGAAAGGAATGAAGTGCTGATGTGTGATACAACATGGTTGAGCCTTGAAAACATGTTCAGTTTAAGCTATCAAACATAAAAGGCTGTGTAGTATTCAGTGTCATGAAAAAGGATTCACAGAGACAGCAAATTAGTGGTTGCTAGGGATTAAAAGAAAAGTTGAGACTGACTATATAATAATTGTGGGGTTTTCATTGGGGGTAATACAAATACTCTGGAACTAAACTGTGGTAAAGGAGGCACAACACTGTAATTTTACTAAATGCCACTGAATTAGACACTAAAAATGGTTAAGGTTGGGAATTGTGTATTTTAGTACAGTTAAAAACGTTCTGGCCAGACATTGTCAGGTATGTCCTAGAAAGCCAAATTGCCTTGGTTGAGAACCCCTGGCCAGAGTTACAGAAGAAGGCTTCCAGGAAGCGTTATGAGTTAGTTGTTTAAAGGCCTGATGGGTAGAAGGGGTGAATATATAGGAAGCAGCTGCATTTCAGTTCTTAAATGGGCTTACTGAATCCAAGGGAGTACTGAAAATATGGCACGTCAAAAGTTTGTAAAACTTGAAGACTTGTTTGGGAGAGACGAAATTGACTGGCTCTTTCAATATGCCTAATGTCCACCACTATTTGGAAAGTAGCTCTAGGACAAGAATGTTGCTTGGCAGTTCATCCTATGGGGAATTACAGGACAGCTGTGCAATAAACCCTTTAAAATGGACATGAAGCTACAAAACACCCAATGGTGATGACCTTTGGGGATCTCACAGTGGGCTCAGCCCCCCCCCCCTTCCCTCCAGTGAATGGGGGGGCTGTGGCATGGATGCTGCCTCACAAAGAGGTCTCAACAGTAGCCAGGAAGAGAAGGTCCTCCAGAGGATGAAAAGAAAGAGCTATGAGGAGAAGAATTGGAAAATCCCAAAAATATGAAGCAGCCTTGAGCACTGTGACCAAGACAAAGATTTGGAATGCCACCATAATTCTGCCAGTCAGGAGCAGTATGTTTTGAAAGATCAGGTATAGTAAATGCCTAGCACCTCATGAGAAGTCTATTATAAGAAAATGGACATTGAAAGAAGGGTTGTAAGAGCTCTTGCCCAGGTTGGCAACTCCTACTTCAAAAAAGAGAAGTGTTGTTTTCTGTAATCTTTTTTTTAAAAATGTTTCAATATTTGTTTGGTACAGGGTCTCACTACACAGATCAGACTTGTAGTGATCTTCCTATCTCAGCCTCCCCAGCACTGGGATCACAGGGGTACGCCACCATGCGTGGTCTCGGTGACCAGCTTCACATGTAGTGCTGGGGATAGTACCTGGGTATTGTGCTTACCAGGCAGGTGCTTAGACGGTGGAGCTATCTCCCCAGCTCCCTTTTCTGTAATCTTGAGAGAAATGCCAAACTCCAGATATGACCAAGAAGTATCAGCGGTTGGAGAAGGTTAGGAAAGATAAGCTTAACCTGGTTGTGGAGTGCCTTTAGAAAGCCACATACATTTTATATAGAAGTTCTCACATGGCACCCATAGAATGCCAAATTCTACAGAATTCATAGGTAGTTAAAGCCAAAGCTCAGTCACTGGCAGGACTACTCTGTGGCTAGAGCCAAGCTTGGCAGAGATACATGTAGAAAGCAACAGCCCTAGAAGCTGGCAGGTAACATGAAAGCTGAGATTGTCCAACAGAAAACCCTAGACCCTGCAGTCTGGCTGTAAAGCAGAAGATGGCTGTTAGTGCCGTATGACGGCCCAGTGCAGCTTATATGATAGCCCTGAGGATGAGAAGCAACAGCTCATAGCTGTGGAGTATAATGAGTCACTGAGCTGAATGACACAGCCTAGAACAAATGCAGAAGACTGCCACTTAGAGGGTCTTGCAATAAAGACCCTGATATGAGTGAGACCACAGCTTGGTGGTGTTTGTGTAGCTCCCTGTACTTTATCTGTGAAAAGAGAAGCTAGGGTTGATGTAAGAATGGAATGAAAGCCTGGAGAGAAGTAAGAGCGAGAACAACTTGTGTGATTGTATTCTGTGCTCCTTCATCCATGGAAGATCTGTGAAGTGTGCACACTTTCTTTGTATAGTGAAGGCTTTCGTACTGTGTTACAAGCGTGGTTTCTTCACTGGGACACAGTGTCCCACGTTTCCTTCCCATGGCCTGTGGTCACTAGTGCAAGTGTTCTTCCCACTGGTAGTTACTCTAAATTGTAGACAGTGAACATGCTTTGAGAGGGAGGATGTTTATCCCAGTTTGTTCAGTATGTCATTACTCATTTTTTTCCTTCTCAGTAAAAGTTCCACAGAAACAAGAACAAGTTTGAGGGAAATGCTAAGGCGTGTGAACACACTCTTTATGAGGAGGTTGGCTTGGCACACTTCTAGAGCACCAATAAACAGGAGTCTAAAGGACAATTGAAACTGCATAATCACATACAACGTGGAGTGTAAGCACATAAAAAGGGATTTTAATATGCCCTGTATTCTTTGAAATTACTGTGTGGTAGCAATGTCAGAGTTAGCCTTCCAGCCAACATTTGTTATAATCTTAATTCTAATGGTAAAATAGCACTAGCCTTGGGATTCTCAAGCTTCAAGACCATGGGGAGATTGTCTTTCATCACTTCTTGTCCTTAATCTTATTTCTCACCACCTAGTGGCAGGAATGGTTCTGATTTAAATACAGGTCATGTAGACCCCCTAATGGAAAGCGACCCCAACTGTGTAGGAAGTAAGACGGCAAGTATCAGTGGAGTCTCATGAACCAACCCAATATTGCTTACTGTGTATGAGTAAAATAACACTTGATTGTGGCACTGTTTGATTTTATGCATAGTTGCTTTTCATGGCTTAAAAAAGCTTGATTTTTTAGGTTAACCTCAGAACTGATTCCCTCTGTTTAGAAAAAAATTTTTTCACAGATCCTCCCTTAGTCTCCCTCCAGCATCTGTGGTTTGAGCATCTATGCTGTGACTTAGGCCTGGTATTCTTGTGTCTGTGCTTAGCAGTACAAACTTCCATTTTCTTTCTTCCCTAAGTAATAGGGCAAAGCAGCCATTTACATGGCATCTACGTTCCATTGCTTTAGATATCAGACAGAAGCTGTAGGTGAGTTAGAACACATGAAAGCATGTACGTAAGAGTACTTTGCCATTTTATGAGGTACCTGAGCAGCCCACAGTTCAGGCTTCAGAGGGGCTTCTGGAGCAGTCCACCACAGATAAGAAGTGTCTGTAATTACACCAAGTAAGCTTGATGCTTAAGAAACCAAAATAGCTTTTCCCTAAAAGTAAACAGAAGTAAGGAAGTTTCAAAATTATAATAACTAAAGTGGTTTCTTGGTTTTGTTTTTAGCAGTGGTCTATTAATATACATGCCTGGTGCCAATTTGTGACTGCTTTTTCTTAGTTCTCTTTAATTTTTTTCTGGTAGCCTTGGACCAAGGTTCCTTTGATGCAAAGTAGCTAGTAGATAACTAAGAGTATGTTCTACTCCTTTTCTTTGTGCCTTGGCAGATCCGTGCAGTTGGCAGGCTAAAAAGAGAGCGCTCTATGAGTGAAAATGCTGTTCGCCAAAGTGGACAGCTGGTCAGAAACGATGCTATGTGAGTAGAACCCCTGAGCACTATGTCTTCTTGTAAGTTTCTTGGCATATGATCTGTGCACATCTTTTCTAAATAATTGGCTTGTCACAGTTTTTGAAATTTGTTTTTCTTATATTATCATCAGTCCATTTTTGCACTCCTTCATATAATCTGGCCATTTTGTCAGTTGTCAAAATTTTTTAGTCGTGTTACACTCTGCGTGTGTACAATCATCGGTAAGTATGGTTTGTTTACCTGGGAGTCTTCTCTGAAGTATATGTAAGACAAATTGATAAATGTAACTGATCAGTTATGTGCATCCTTAAAAATGTGCACCATGTAGATTGTAAAATCAAAACAGGAAACGCAAAATAGAAAGTCTTTATTTTCATGTTAGCGTTGTAAACCAGCCATTTCCAGCTCAGCTTTGTCTCTAATGAGCTGTGCTAAACAGTGTGGTGCACACAGGTGGAAGTTAGTTTCTTTGCTAGGAGTAATTTTAACATTCTACCTACTGATTCTTTAATTATTAGGTCTCTTTCATTTTTTAAAAACTGTATATGTTTTGTTTTAAAGGACTATTTGTTTAAACCTTTGTCCTCACTTGTTTATATTATCACACTGGGATCTTAAAGCTGCTATAAGATGTTTCAGATCAGGCAAGTGCTTTTTATTGTTCTATTAAAGTTAATCCAGTGTTTTCCTTTGGTTTTTTGAAATCATCTCTGTGTAATTCAGGCTGGCCATTAGCTGTCTGTGTAGCCCAGGCTGGCCTTGGACTTGTAGCAATCCTCCTACCTCCCAAGGAGAAACACAGGCTACCTGCCAAGCTTAAACTCAATTTTTACCAACAAAATGTTCCTGGAACACTGGCCAGAATTTTAAATCTTAAATCACAGACAATACTGTTTTTTATACTTTTTTTTTTTTTTTTGTGGTACTGAGGATTGAACTCAAGACCAATACTGCTTTTTAAATTAGCTTACTTAGCTTGTTTACATAGATTTTTTTTCTTTCTTACTAATTTTTGGCCAGTTTTCATGGACTGATCAGGAGCCAATGTGACGTTAAGCATCATGTTTTTCTGGGAACTATGAAAAAAAGCAAAACATTTTGATTTTTTTATACATATATGATACAATTAGATCACAGTAAATTATGCTATTTATATTTTAGCATGTTAAGCTCTAATTTGGGCCTGACTAGAGCATATAGAGGTACAGAAGGGACTTGGAGGGGGCATCGGCTTCAATATTCAAGATAAAAAGAGAATTTTTTTCACGTTTTTCTCCTTGCTTTGCACTTCACTGAACTTCCAATTTAAATTTAAATTATTTGTTATTGCACTAAAATTCTGTTTTTTGTGTTAGATGCAAGGATAAACTACATCTGTTCTGATTTTTTAGAGAATCTTGAAATATGTCCTCAGGCAGTTGAGCAATTATAGTTACACTGAAGGGATGTACATGACAAGAATGCATTAAAAAGACATACCCTTTAAGAGATACCCTTTAAGAAAGACTTATTTGAGAGACTAACCTATTACTTACACAAACTTGCTAGGGTTTTTCTGAAGGTGTCTGGTTGGCAGATGTGGAATCAGCGCACAGATGAAATTCATCTTTTCAGAGTATTCCAGTATACAGAGTAAAAAGCTACATAATATATGGCTAAGGCAGATTAAATGTACATTCAAGTTTTTAGTTATATTGTTTATAATAGACTATTTTAAAGTCCCTAAGTACTAGCACTAGTTCTTCATGACAGAAAAAGTCAACAGTGCTAAATCATACTCATTTCCCCCCCTTTTTTTCTTTGGAGATGTTTAAGAAAATGCAAATCTCTTATTTTTCAGAATCTGATTTTTAAAATAAAAGATAGATAGTAGAAAGTCAGGAGGTAGAACTTTCTCGAGTGAGAAGGAAACCAAGAGGGGAGAAACGGGAGTGGGGAAGTGAAGGAGGTGAGAGCCTAAGGCGAGGGCGCGTGGAGCAGCCTCGCTTGGGGAGGCAGGCATGGGGCCGCCACCTGCACTGAGCATGAATAGTGAGAAGCACACGAGAAGTAACCCGAATATTTTATACATTTTCACAGTAAAATACCTGTGTTTTTCATTATGGTTCTCTATGGTTATGTATGTTGCCATCTTATAGTAGGTATTTATTGTCTTTTGCTTAAGAACAAATCCTTGCCTTTTTCTGTTATTAATTTTACTATTTATAATTGAATTCATCTTGAAAGATCTACATCTTATTCTAAGACTTTTGTACAGTAGAACATATTATGTATTCAGTGTTACTGCATTAAGAAAATTAATGTAATCCAACTGTCATTGCCCCTAGTAAAGTAGTTACCAAACTCTTGCAGTGTTGACCTACTATAGTCTTTCCTTTGTAATTTGAGATTGATTATGCATTATTATTCATAAGCCTTTGCCTACCTCTACTTTGTTTTCTTCTGTACCTCTAATATTAAAAGCGCAAAGGAGGATCAGACCAGGGACATTGGCCTTTGTTTTCTGAATTAACTTTGAAGACGCAGTAGGATTGATTATTGTTACCTATTAGCATTAAAGTTAATTCTGACAGTAGAATTATATCTAGCCTTTGTGTTGTGAAAGCTGAATATGTAAAAGAAGCATAATTATTATTTAAGGTGGTACAGATCAGATTCTGCCCCAAGAAATAAAATTTCAAGGTTCCAGGCATCGATTTCTGCACCGGAGTACACGTAAGATTTCATCTGCTCTGCTTTTCACAAATAGAAGCCACTTTAATTTTGCAGGCGTATGTAATACTAATCTATTTTACTGTGTATTTGGAATATAATACTTTCTGTAATTGCTTGGCTTTTTAGTACTTTAGGATTTCTCAAACTGTCATGTATTTTATTCAGAAAATGAAAGACCAACTTAAATTTTATGTGGTTTAAGCTGGACGTGGTGGTGCATACCTGTAACCCCATCACTCAGGAGACTAAGGCAGGAGGATCATTTTGAGTTTCAGAGCAACCTGGGCTACAAAGTGAGCTCAAGGCCAGCCTGAACTGAGTAGCGAGACCCTGTCTCAATATGCCCAAAAAGATTAAATGGTTTAAAAGGAAAATGGAATATTTTACACATAAAGACCAAGTATTCTCTCCCATTTTCTTCATTTTGCTTTGGTTGGTATATTTCCTGTAGATTGAGTTTTAACTAGTTTAGTAACCCCGGTCACTTTTTATATCTCGGCACAGTACTATTTTCTTGTTTTATTTTTACCTAGAAGAGTGGAGTCTTGAGTGTGGTTTGTTACTGAAATTGTTTTTCTTTCTTTCTTCCTTTTTTAATTCCATAGATTAAAAATACACAGTGTACTTGGAAAAAGTTTTTTCAATCCTAAACACTTCTCTGTGTATGTATGACAGAAGGTCGGGGGTAACTGCCCTCTAGTGCGAACTCAGATTTCAGTGTGCAATACAGAAATTCAGCAGCAGCTGTAGCTCTCAAGCAACACGAGAGACCACAGTTATCTGACAGCCAACTGTTTCTTTCATTATAGATTTGTTCCTCAAGGAACTAGTAAGTTGACTTCGATAATGGAAGCAAGAAATCAATATTGCTTGTGTTTCATAAAAATTTTTTTTTTCTGTTTTAGTCCTTTGTGCCTTTTTTCTATTTTGCAAGTATTTGATACCTCCCTAAAGAGGTTGACCTCACAGTTTGAGAAACATTACTCCTGTGAAAATCACAGGGCAAAAGGTACTTAACTTTAACCCTCTTAATAGTGACATCATTATGCCAGTAAATTTGAGTTTAAATTTTAGTGCTGACATTAAATAATGTGTGCTTAATTCTTTCATAGTAAGAGTTCACATAAGCATGAGGTAGAGCTACTAATGAAATAACATAGCAAGTGTAAGCTTTCTACAAATTTTTGTCTTCTATTTTAAAGAAATGTAAAGTTGAGGTGTTTTATAACACCAAGAAGATGGATTTTGCATCAGAGTGCATTTTTATTAAATTACTAATGTTGTGATACATTTATAGCATGCTTTATTATTTTTCATAGTTCACTTACAAAAGCAATAAAAACAAAAAATAATCACTAAACCTGTATTGGGTATATGAATGGACAAAGATGAAACCTTTCCAGTTCTCAAACCTCTTTCCTGTCAGACGTGATGGCACATGCCTATAATCTCAGCACTTAGAAGGCTAGGCAGGAGTATTGCTCTGAGTTTGAGACCAGCCTAAGCAATTTAACAACTAATTGGGAACCTGTCTCAAAACAAAATAGCTCTTCCGATCTAAAATAAAATAAAATAAAAAAAAAATAAGGATGTGGGATACAACTCAGTGGGAAGGACCTGGTATTGATACCCAGCACCACATACACACAAAAAAATTCTTCACTATTAATCTGAAGTTAGTCCTGCTTGGCTGCTTCATAACTACCTCATTTCATATGTAAAGACAGAAATAGTTGCAAGTTTAGAATTTAAATAAACAATTCTTTATTGTTTTTGGCAAAGTGACTCGCTCAGAGGAAGTAGCCATTTTATTTTTTTATTTTTGGCAGTACTTGGGCCTAAATGCAGAGCCATGCGCATACCAGGCACATGTTCCACCTGAGCTACACCTGCTTCCTTTTTATTGTACTGGGAAATAGTGTTTGTTCCCGGCTGGCCTTGAACTCTGATCAACCTGCCTCAGCCTCTGGAAGAGCTGAAATTGCATGTATGTACCACCATGCCTGATTTTCCTTTTAATTTTTAATGGGCAAAAGCGCATCAAACTTGATTCATAGATTTTTTTTCAATTCATTAATGTTATTACTTTAAGATTATAACTCTAAGTATTATCATTGCCTTTAATGTATTATTATGTGACTACTGTGTTTACTACCAGATGAGGCACACAGTGTTCAATATAAATACCAGAATTCAAAGAAAACAGACTTAGTTGTTGAAAATCTGTTTAAGTAAATTGAGCCAGGTACACCAAACAACTCTTGAGAACAGCAAAGGACACATTGTTTGCTGCCATACACAGAATGTTAACAAGGAGATGGCCATTTAAAATCCTACCCCTGTTGATACTGCTTAAAGTAAGAACTCAGTCTGAGTTCTCAAAATAGCAGAAATTTTATTAGTTTTTTACTGTGCTCCCTGAAAAGAATTCTGAGTGTAGGATGAGCACACAGGCTTGGTCTCACAGATGTGGGGTTTGTTTGGCTTTTGGTTTTGTTTTGTTTGCTTCCATAGAATCTGTAATATGGGTTTTGCTGAGTCTTGTGGGTCATTTGATAGATGGCACTCCATATAATATTCCAAGACTTCAGCATCTGGACAGACATTTGGGGTCACTAGCCATGAGGCTATGTCTGAAAACTTGATCCTGAGATCTAACGCCTGTGGTCAGTCAGCCTTTATGGATTAATTGCTGAATATGTCAAGATTAGGCTTAGAACTTTTTTCTTCTAAATAGTCTTTGGAAGATACAGTTTTCATATTTATTGTGTGTTTCTCCTTAGATTATCAAGATATTGAATGTTGTAAACTTTTGGAGGAAAAAAATAAAATTTTGGAGGAGATTTTGCTTTTTAAAATTTTCTAGAACTCTTTTGAGACTATATCCAATAGCAGGAATTGTCCTTATGGAAAGGAAATTTTACTTTGTGGCTTCCAAGTCATGTTATTTTAGAAACAGCCAAATTAAAGGATTTTTTTTCTCAGTTATTCACTATGTGCTCTGCTTTTATTCTTTTTCATGTAGTACATAGAAGTTAAGTTTGACCTAGTCTTTTTTGCTCTAACACTGAGCGCATTAATCCTTCATCCCACAGCCATGGGCTTCTCACTGGAACAACCGGATGCCGCCGTGTCCCTTGTGAAATGCCTCATAGCTCCTAATGCACCAGCTCTCAGAAAATTGTGATGTAGATCTTACAAATTTAGGTTAGAACTTTACAAATTGCACAGTCACATGTGGTCCACTATCAGGAAGCACAGGCAGTAGAGCCAAAAAAAATTGTGACTCTCAGCTCACACACGGAGTGATTCAGATTCCCATACTGAGAGCATCAACCGTCTTGATAACTGGATAAGTATCCTTGCCTTCTTTCACTGTAGGCCCAGAATTGGGCTAGTTTTATGGTTTATGTCATTTAGCTGGAGATCATATGCTTTACTATAATTGAACAATGACAGTGCTTTCTATTATAGTTCTCAGAGACTAATTCCTCTTTAATGTCATTTACTCATAAACTCAGCTTGTGTTGTCTTTATTTGTGAAGTATCTGAAATGACGTTTTCATGGATTCAAGAGTTTGATGTCTGTGTAACAGAATTCTCTAGCCCATTCTTGTCATCTAAAAGTTGAATATAGTGTTCTCAGTGGCTTGGTTTACTATATTGGAATGTATACCACACGCCAACACTAAGGATTGACTACATTCATTACTGTAACTCTCTTTCCTACCCAAAGTTGCTTTTTATATTGTGTTTTGATGTTCAAGGTTACAGAGTTACATGTGCTGCACTGTGGTTTTTAGAACAATTCAAATGCTTATTTACTTTGGTTTAACTGTAGTGGGAAAGAGTAAAGGGTGGGAAAATGGGCCAGGAAAACTTAAAATTAAAAATTGCTCAGCTGTAGTTTTATAATAATCTGACGAGTATTTTTCTCTTCATTTGCTGTGCTTATGTGAACAGTGTGACACCATCGCCACCACAGGCACGGGTCTGTCCTCCCCATATGCTACCTGAAGATGGAGCTAATCTTTCCTCTGCTCGTGGCATTTTGTCGCTTATCCAGTCTTCTACTCGTAGGGCTTACCAGCAGATCTTGGATGTGCTGGATGAAAATCGCAGGTGATTGGCCATCAGTGACTCTTGCCGGCTTGTGTTCTGTATTTTTTGGCTCCTTATTTAGTGGGCTGTGGTGTCTTCCTTTATGTTTGCACTCTTTGGTCTCTTTCTAAGATGCAGTGGTTTGAAATGGCTTGCTTTGCTTTCTTTTAATTTGAAATTATTGTCCAAAATTCACATTTCGCAAGACTGTACATTAGCTTTCCTTCAGTTAGTTTCTTTTTTTTTTTTTTTTTTTCTCCTTCAGTTAGTTTCTATACACAGGAAGTATGACAGATTTTCCCTCCCCAAGGGCTTTGCTGACCTGTTCGAAGTACTTGATATCATTTGGGGTACACTGAGGGCTAATGTTGCACTGAGTGGGATCTTGGACTGAAACATACTAACTTCTTTAATAAGTCCTTTGATTTAATCATGTATGCTGCCAGTATGAATGAAGCAGTTCTGAAGAGCTGTCCTTTCAGCTGCCAGAGCATTTTCTTACCTTCCTCTTAGGGATGAATCCTAAAAATACCAGGTGATATTGTCTTTTTTACAATACTGTTATCTTTCAACATTGACGACTTACCTCACTTTTGAACATCTGGTAAAATCATTAATCATGTTCTTCAATTTATTCATGCAAATATCTTTTTATTTGTTTATTTTTTTGCGGTCATTTTCAAATACTTTTTATCCTTGCCATGTCATTACTACTAGGCTTTTTTAAAAGATGAAATTGCCCCAAATATTTTTGGCATGATGCATAACAGAGGTAAAGTTGGTTGAACTTCAACACTGACCACTTATGTAATGGCTTCTGAGAGTCAGTGTTTTCCGTATCATTTTGTAGACTTAATTTTTTACATTTGGAGAATTCCTAATAAATCAAGTTGACCGGAATCCCAATAAGCCTTATTTCTTACCTTAAGAATAATTGTATCTTCTGACTTGCTTTGAGCAACCTTCTTGGTTACTTTTAATTTGCACAAGAAGACCCCAATTCTTTCACCATACTTTTAAAATCTGTAGGATTTTTTGTGGTTGTTTTTTGGGGAGTTTATACCAGGGATTGAACTCAGGACCTTGCGCTTACCAAGCAAGCGCTTATGCCAGAGATATATCCCCAGGCAGTCACCATGCTTCTTGAGCATTGGTCCATACTACTTACTGTTTTTGACTAGTGGACCTTTCTAAATCTTTCCACCATTAATGAATGGTATGCAGGTGAGCCCAAGAACACCAAGGTACACTAAAGAGTTAGAAAAATCGTAGCATAAAGGGAAGGTCAGATACAGTATATAATATGTACATGTGTTAGTATGTATAATCTATATATACATTATATAAAATGAAAACTACAAAAACGATCAAAACTACGTATTTATAGAGTCCTATTTATGTTCTGCAAAGCTTCAGAGATTATTTTGGAATATTTGAAAGATGTAAGAAGCAGCAAGTTTTAGAAGAAAAAGCATTGATCTGGGGAGCCAGATTTGTCATGATCCACCTCACCACATACACTGCAGCCTGGCTGTCCTGAGCAGATGACGTGTCTTCTCTGGGCACCAAAGGGGGGATCCGTGGTGGCAGTGCCTAGCTAGCTTCCTGGCATCTTGTGAGCAAGCCTCCCTCTTCCCACCTTTACTTAAGAAAGGGCCTCAAGTTCTTCATTTAATGTGATGGGAGATCCCTCAAATGATGTTGAACATGAAATACCTGGCCTGAAAATCTAATATATTTTAGATTTTCAAAGGCACCTTTGTTATTTTCCTCCTTTCAAGCAAATACTCTCCACCAGATAATCTCTTTAATTTTTCATTATACTAAGTCCTTAGATGAGACCAGATAATTGTCAGAGATCATTGTGTATATCATTACTGTCAGATTGTACCATGTTACAGTGAAAGTAAGTGAACGAGACAAATGTTTCTAGATCTTACATGGATGAGGTAATAGCTAGATGGTTCAGAACATCAGGATTATCTGCCTCCACCCACACATACACTGTTCAGATGCAGAGGCGTCGACCGTGCAGATATATGGGCTTTCTTCCCTCAATGATGGAAAAATATTGCCCAAAATTCAAACATATAGCATCAGAAATCTTACTAGTTTATACTTGGTGTTCTTTCAGTATAAAATACTGGAACACTAAGTGAAATTTTACTTTTTTGCACATTGTAATGAATTGAAATCTCTTTTCTTTTTTCTTTTCTTTTCTTTTTTTTTTTTTTGCAAAACCAGGGATTGAACTCAGGCCCTTATGCTTGCCAGGCAAGCGCTTATTCTACTGAGCCACCTCTCTGGCCCCCGAAATCCCTTTTCTGAGAAGGAAGTATCTTAAGTAAGCTTTCTTAAATTGAGAAAAGAGTTATAATACTTTGCTCCTGGACATATTCCTTTAGTTATCTAAGGAGAGGCAGGTCCTTATCAGTCTTATTGATGCAATCATTACTAAACGGGGTACTTTTTAAAAACATTGTATTCACATCTCTTATAACCTAAATGTTGGGCAAGAGTGGGTCAGAGTTTTAAGTGTCAAATTGCTTTTTATTTCTAATATAAGAAGTATCTAGCATGACTTTTCTGATATAAAAAGTGGGAATGTGAAATTTGGATAATGTTCTACTTGCATGATTATTAAATGCTGCTCTTCTGAATAAAGGTTTAAATGCTTTTATGTTCCTTGCTCTGTCATTTTCTGTTTTGTTACTTTTGGATGTTATGCTATTGTTGCATCCTAACTCTGGTTTTTATGCCATCACACTGAATAGAGTTGAGTAGAATTATTTTTCAGAAAGAAAAATAGAAAAAAAAAAAAAAAAAACCTTTCTGCCTGTTTTATCATAAAATAGTACAGATTCACCATTACTTTACACTAGGACTAGTTTTAGTTAAAGTTAAAAGGGCACTGTCAAAAAGTTTATGCTGTATTTTCTTTTTCTTATTTTAGGAGAACTTAGATCTAAAAGCAAGTTCAACATGGAAAGCAAATTAAATCCTAGATGCCCATTAGAAAAGCTCCTTTATGTAGGTCAGTGCTGTACATTGGGAAACTGATACACTGAAAATTTACTGAGAGCCTGGAGCAGACACCAGCCGCTCACCTTGCTCAGCTGGAAGGAGGCTTTAGATGCTACACTTTCTTCACTGGTTAGGAATTGCCTGTCCTTCCCTGTGTCTGTTGGAGTTCCATGTCTGGATTCTCCAGTGTAAAATGCTAACATTTTTAATGAGGTAGTTTATGTATTAGAATGCCACTTAAATACTGAAAGATAAGTTCTACATAAGTTTTATTCTCAAAAGGAGCTGATTTTTGTACTTCTTATGGAATGAGAATGTACTGTCTCTGAGTAAATAGAATGAGAAAATGATAGATGAATAATTTACATTTTGGATAAGTATATAACAAGACCTAGAAAGGCAGTCACAATAGATACCGTATTTTTTACTTGAAAATTTTCTTGTACAAAAATGAGTAATTCCTGGATCCCTAACCAAACTATTTATTTACTATAGCAGTTTACATTTCTTTCTCCCCTCCCCCCCACCCCCCGGAACCAGGGATTGAACTCAGGCCCTTGCTCTTGCCAGGCAAGCACTTATTCTACTGAGCCATCTCCCCGGCCCCCACGTTACATTTCTATAGCAGAGAAACACATACCTGTTAAGAGACCATGTATTTACTCAAAAATACTGATACACAAGTTAGTGTTAGAGTACAGTAGCCTTGAACTTCCTTTCCTTTTTCCATTAGATCTAATTATAAAACATGCTGTTGAAAGGTATTTGTATTAAAGCATACTTATGATAGAAAGTGGGGCTTGAATGAAGTTCTAACTTTGCCAAATACCTGTCTAATATACTTTTATATTATATGTGTCAATTGCCAGTGTAAGAAGACAAAATGAAATACGTTATGAAAGGTAACTGTATTATTTTCTGACTCTGCATTACCAAAGGGAAATCTCTGTGGTGGACTATATTGAATACGGCAGACCCATTTGAACATATTCGTACATATTAAATAAAAACTTAAGGATGCATACAGCAGTGGCTTCGTTTAGTTTGTGATGTAAGACAATATTTCATTCATGCTCTTACTGATTTCACAAAGTAAATTTTAGTAGGATGAGTTTATGCTCAAGTATATGTGGTTTCTCAGTTTTCTTCAGCTGACAGAGTAAGGCAAGAGTCTTCCACCACCTCTAGGCCGGTCATGGTGAACCTGTGGTGCACATGCTGTTTGTATTGCTGGGAGCTCTAAAAGGTTTGCCATCACTGCTAGTATCTAACAGTGTCATCAAACACTAGTCGTACCTTTAGGACATCTAGAAACTAGAGTTAAAATTTTCTTGTATAAGTTGAGTTGTCAGAAAATAGTGATTTGTGTTCCACAACTGAGGCAGGTTACAGAAAAAAAATGATATTAAATATCTACCGTAGTTACTGCTTGACACTTCACACTCAAGTAAAATTTGATCACTTACTTTGAGAATGAGACATTCAAGTAGACTTTAATAATCTTAAAATCCTTACTTGGATCCTATGCCCCAGCCTAGTTCCCTGGCTAGGAAGTATTGCTGATTATTTGGGCCAAATGACTAGGGGACATGTAGAGCATTTGTTTGAAAGGTTACTGCTTATCTAAGTAGAGAATTATCCTCTGCCACCAAAATACAGAGTGAGTCGAGTGGGAAGCCCCACAGAGTTTTCCAGCAGCCCTGCACGTCACTGGTTGTCGCACACTGGGGCACACTGCTGCGGTGTCCCTGGTCTTTGCAGCTCCAGAACTGAGGTGCAGGTGTGAGTGAGCTGCAGAGCTACGTGAGGACGTCAGCCAGGAATCAGAAGCAGTGCGGTGGGAGGGCCAGGGGTTATGGGCCACAGGAAGCTCTTTAAATTCATAGGTTTTGAGGCTGAGCTGTGACTGAGTGAACGTGCTCGTACAGGTGCTACTAACGAGGCCTTGATGTGCTTTTAAAATTGTTACCAATGCTTTTGAATAAGAGAGAGATTATACTTCTAAAACATACTTGTCCATTATCTTGAATTTCATAGAGTATAAGCGCTAAAAAGAATTAAATGTTAGTGCTGTGTTGTCACACATTTCCTTTGTTTCAATCAACTGTAAAATGTTACAAAAATCTTCATGAAAAACATAAAAGGGAGGATATATGAGACAAATGCTATTGAAAGTAGTTGAGAAATATTATATTGTATTGAAGCATACAATATAATCCAATTTGACATTTATTTGTCTTGTTTTTGCTTCTATTTTATTATTTCTCTGTTTCCTGATTCTGTCTTGTGCCTTCTCCCGCAAAACCTGCCTTAGACCTGTGTTGCGTGGTGGGTCTGCTGCCGCCACTTCCAATCCTCATCATGACAACGTCAGGTAACTTTTGAGTCTCTAATTACCAGGGAAGATGCAGAGGTGGTGGAATGTGTGTCTTTCGTGGCATAATGCATGAAGTAGCCGTGACTGTGTGTTAAATTGATACTGCTTTCCTACTTAGTAATCCTGCTTCTTTCCCAAACCAAGGCATCTGATCGGTCACAATACATGGCTACTAGTATGTGGGAAAACGGCTTACTAATTGTGGGATGGCATGATAGGAACTTTGAGACTTGTCAGAATTGCATAGATTCTGGCCAGCATTTCCTTTTTAGTTAATTATAATGTCACTTGGGGCTGGGGAGATGGCTCGGTAGAATAAGTGCTTGGCTGGCAAGTACAAGCACATGAGTTCAATCCCCGGTTCCGAAAAAAAAAAAAAAAAAAAAAACACATTATAATGTCACTTTCAATGTGTAGATAATTCTATCTGTAATGCATTGTCTTGAATTGGGAAAAATCACCATTGACATCGTCGGTCATTTGGATATTTGGAAATTCAGTTTGACGCCTTTCCTCTCTTGATTGTGGTCCTTCTCTTACTGTTGCGCTCCTCATGCTTCAGTCATACTTCACCCAGGAAATAATTTCTTTCTGTTATGCATAAGGGCAGAGAGAACAGCATACACAAACCTTAAGGTTCTCAGCTGACAAAATCCCCACTTAGTGTTCCTTTCCTCAGGTGCTGCTGCTCTCATTTTTCAGAACCTGTTCAATTCCAAGCAGAAGCATTGTCTGTAGCAGTAGATTTAAAACTAGAAATAGCTGTTTCCATTGAGCAGAAGAGACCGGGCGGCTCCCGGGCAGGGGCAGAGGGAAGGCATCATTTTCTTCTTCGCAAATTCGCACTGGAGACATGTCCTGCCCACGCTTCCTGGCTTGGCACTTAAGCAGTCTGAATCTGGTGTAGTTCCTTTTATATTTTTCTCTTAAAGTTGTGGAAGTATTTTCAGCTAGTGGTCTGCCTTAGCATTTCTTAAAGAGGTTTGCATTCTGGTAAATACTGGTTTTTGTTTGAAATACAGTTTATGA